AACCTGCCACTGATTTTCAATCATAATTAATGTACACACATGTATATCCTATAGGGTTATTTTGCTTCATGTATATGTTTAAATTGCTATATACATGTACAAAAGACATAATTGCTATTTATTGACTTGAAGAGGTATTAGAGTATCTTATTAATTAATAACAAATGAAATAATTACAATAATCATCGTTAAATTTTAACAGTTTTACGTATTATGTGTTCATGTTATGTATAACACGCACTTATGTCACCTATGTTGATCGCCTAAGTTTTGCTAAGATTTGTATTTCTTAGCATCCTTTATGATACGGACTTAAGACAAATAATGTACTTATGTTTTACTTTAGTATGGTCTTAGACTTAACGAGGCTGGGGGGTGGCAGCCATTTTCAGACTATTTCGATCTCCTTTAAAAGAAGAGGTCCATATAAAGATATACAAAATGATCAAATTTTAAAACTAAAATGTATGAATTTTTTCTTTGCCAAATGAAAGCTGACGGCTTAAGATACCGTATCTTAAAATATGTTAAATCTGGTGGTTAATTTGTGATTAATTTGTTGACCCCCCAGCCTCCTTAAGTACTTTTTATGTTACGACCCCCAGGTCTATATTTTTTTTCACATGCAACTTCAAATATGTTAATATTGCCCAATCGTACTTAGGAAAAAAATATGAAATATGTAAATAATTAAGGCTGAGAAGTTTGATTCATAATGCAACATTCGATTTTTCTATTTTAAAATTGAAATGGTTAAAATAACACGAAAATGAAGAGGGAAAAGACAAAACTACTTGTGTCGAATTTTGTATATCAAAAACTTTTTTAATTACTCAAATTTGTTGATGTAAAAGCCTCATGATAATAATTTTCTATATAGAGATACTATTTGTTAGAAAAAAAACTTCTCTCCGAATTCTTCCTTGCTTATGAACTCTTTTCTTTTTTGACATCAGTTTCCCATCAAACTGGATAAATAATGCAAATGTTTTAGTATGGGTTTTCACCATTTTCCATGTAATTGTATTTCCTACATCTATTTTTGCGGCAGCTTCTTTTGCAGCACTATAAAAGAAATAACATAAATATCTGACAACTGTTCTTATTTTTCCCTGTTCCAAATTTTTATCGTATGTCGTACTTGATATAACCAAAACCACATTAAGAATCAAAAATTTATTTTTCAGTTCAAAAGAAAGCATTTTTTTTCTTATAGATATCATGTACACTTAAATACTTAATATATTTCAAATTCTTTTTGGAGAATAACGTTGGCCAAAATCGTTTCTTAATTAATTTTCCTACTCCCCACTTATAAATCTTCCATGTATGAATGTAATCCGGGCTTGAAAGTCCTTTTTAATTTTTTTTTACTGCTAAAAAATCCAGGTTCATTTTAAAAATCCAAGTACAATGTATTAGTAAAAGTCAGTATTGTTTTCTTACAAAACAAACAAGGCCAAAGAGAAAATAAAAGAACAACGTAAATTTTTGGCGCCAAAGTATAAGACTAGTAGAATAGCTTGATGCTTGGCAATGTTTTCTGACAATCATGAGATGAACAAAGCGGGATGTCTGACGAAGGCCTATGATGACTATAAGTTGAACAAACCTTTCAAAATTTAAAACAGTTCATTGCAATGCTTGTTCTGTCTTCGTTGTTCCAAAGAAGGTCAACTGAATTCTTGAAGCAAAAACAGAGCATCAAATCAAAAACAAAAATTTACAACTGGTTATGTTTGTGAAACACAGATGTCCCCTATGACAGTTCAATACCGGTTCAAGTCTCTCAAATGCAAGTCGAACTCCAATGTCAAAAGATTAAAAATAGTGTAACCTTAAGAAAAGTTTATCACAAAGAATTCATGTGAAATATTCAAATCCAACTCCCCCCCCTTTTTTAAAAGTTATAATTAAAGTTTAAAAGTTTTTTGCAGACAGACATACAGATGGACCTGTAGACGAAAAACAATATGCCCCCAATCTCTGAATAAGGAAGTTTGATTTACTTTATCGAGTACCTGCAAAAAGAGGCTAGTATGAAATTTACGTTTCTATCCACGCATGAATTTGCAAAAACATATTTCAAATCGTTGCAATTTTGTAATGATGCGCATAAAAGTAAAAAGTCCCTGTTGAAATACATATTCATGTATATTGCTTATAAACTCGATTCATTTCTTAAGTCGTCAAAACGTCCATGTATCTTTACTCAGATGAAATATATGGAGGTTACAAACAGTATTCAAAAGTTTATTCAAAGAATTATTCCATCCAAATATATGGGACGTATCCTAACAGTGTTGAGGGCTTGCTCAGAGACACAGATTATTCTATACTACCGATCGGTTTTCTCCTTGTCATAATAGGGAAATAATGGAAAAATCCGTAGACAATGTGTAAATAATGACCTCGCATTTCGTATGAAAATGTCCATCAACATTTGATTTATTGGTAGTGCTTGCTGACGAGGTCATCGTATCGATCATAGAACTTGAGGAATGATTACTTTCAATGAGAATGTTTATATTTTTGCTTCATTAGCTTATTTGTTAGTAGCTTACCTCGTTTTAGAGAAACTTAGAGCAAGAACTTGCCTATCGAGTCAACTGAGAGATTTAAATCCCATGCGCGGATGATAGGGGTATATTCTGTATAAGTAATGGAAGTCAACGATTGAAAATTTGAAGTCATTACGTTTATCGTAAAGTTTGGTTGCATGTTGTTAGGTTACCATAAACTTTTTTTCTGATAAAATATCCAAAAATATCAAAACAAAAAACTTGTGTCGGAATCTGGGGTTTTTTCATTTCATCTCGCCATATGAATGGAAATACACGTAGCTAATGTTAATTGATAATATTTATATTGATATACTAGTACCTTAATGTCGAGATGAAGACAACAGCAAGTGTTTTCCTTCTTTTTTTCTCAGGTATAAGAATTTGAACAAAATATGAATACAAGAATGGATCTGCTTATAACGGGAGGCAATTAGTACCCATGGGAACTCCGACAAAGACCTGGTTTTGTATGTACTTGTGTTTTGATGTTACTGATTTGGTCGATTTCATATTTTCAGAGTTATTTATTATTTTTTTATCCATATCCGATATACATCACTTCACGAATATATTGTTGCATAGTACAGTATTCCAGTTAATATTCTAGAGAGGAGTAAAAAAAAAAAAGAGGCTCGATAGAACAGAACGTTTACTGCGATCTACTAAGTATCTTTGTTTTTTTTTTAAGTTTAGGAATCCAGTACGTATAGGTAGGGCAATTCAAATTCATTTTATATATTTGGAATATCATAAATCTTCAAAAGTGTAATACGAGTTCGAGGAATTTCCTCATTAGAAAGGAAACTTTAGGTATACATGCATAAGTTGGATTACCACTTGTAAAATGTAAAATTAAATTCCACTTCTTCTAAAATACAATAAAATAATGAGCCTAATACTGTGTTGTTACCTGTTTTGTCAGCAGGGACGTCTATCAACAAAATAATCGGAAGAAAGTGATTCTAGGGTTTTAGGAATTTGTTTTTATAGGAATTGAAATTCCCCATTCTTATTCACATTCTGACTTTCACCTCCGTATCTAGAATTCTCTTAATTTTATCGCAAAGTTTTCCGGGCAGTCTTGTCAAGTTCAAGATTTAATTGTTAAGGAAAAGCAAAAATGATGCATTTGGATAATTTAATAGGGCGTTCACATAACAGGAAAACAGTGTGCTCCTTTGCCTCGTTTAATAATACAATATAGACATAAATCTATGATATAATAAATAATTTCTTTGATTATATGAATGGACGGATATACATATACATAAACAAGTTCAGTATTAAATCGTGTAAAAAGCACAAAAATACATAAACGATATGAAGATTTGGAATACAGATGCTGGAGAACATATAATGTTAAAGACAGAATTTACATTTTTTTTAATCTCAAAGACATCAATCGCTAAAGCTTTAATACCTTTTTTATAATGAATTTCTGAAATGAAAAATGGCGCTAAATGATTCTGAATTAATACAAACTTAAAAAAAATAAAAATCAAACAAATCTAACATTGTTTTCTTTCAAATATAAAATACATAAAACTATGCTTATATTGAAACAGAAAACGTTTTATCACAGCTTCGCTTGATTAGAGCCTTTTTAAAAAATTGATAAAAACTCAATAAAAAGGACATACAAAAACCTACTAAAATTGAAAAACCCAAAAATAAATATACAATCAAAAGTCCCTGCTTTCACAAATTTTCACACATTGATAAAAATTTGTAAGATAGACTATAAAAAACGTGTACTTTTATACATGTACTCTGCAACACACCAATTCTATTTACATTAATACCTCTCGTTCTACATACAGCAGTGAATTAACCTTCCATTCAAAAGTGAAAGAATATCTAATTAAATAAGACAAAAATCTATATACAAATTGACCAATCTCATTAAAATCAGATCTTTGATCTACAAAATGATATGTCCAACTCCGGAGCGGATCAAAGACTTTCGATTTTAATGAGATGGATAAGACGTTACTTCTTTGTGAAGTTTATAAATTACATGTATAGTGTATATACAAGCAATGAATTATTCATCTGTATATGGTATCTAAATCAAATATAATATTATTACTGTATTCCACTGTATACCCCTGTCACCAAAGAAATTCATACTAATACGTCTCATTTTTAAGATTATCTTCCTTAAACCTGAAACGAAACCTTCACATCAAAAGACGAGGAAGATGCTTGTTTATCAATAAAATATAAGCTTTTAAAATATTTTGTCAATTCTATAAACATACGTGCTAAAAGTGTATTAAATATTTATCTTCGCAGGTTCATGTGAACAGAATTGGAATAATTATTTTTTGTGGCATATCAATTTCTTAACACAATAATAATTTCTATACATTGTCAGAGAGTTGAGCTTAAAGTATATCAGATCTACACTGTCCCTGTATAATATCGTTTTTTTAATAAGAGTTCCCTATTAAAGTTTGAAATTTCCCTGTGCAGTGTTCTTCCTATACGTCACTTCCGTTATCCCTCGATTCCTGTCGCGTAAGGTGCACCAACCTTGTAATCTTTCTGTAAATTAAAAAGAACATTTTTCCAGCTTCATCGAATAGATTGTTTTTCAAACATTGTTTCTACACGATGCACACCAAAATCAACATCAGTTTCTTCTTATGCCAGTTATTGCCATCGCCAAAAAATCCAAACCTGGTTTACAAAACTTCTTACTTCTTACTCTATTGCATAGAAACTGAACAAACCCCACCCTCTGTATTTGAACTCAAGAATTATAGGTGTTGTTGTTTTTAAACATATATATGTAAAAGTGCAATAAACTCCAAATCCATCCTCTTTTCAAACTGAACCAATCCATAAATAGTGTTTATAGTCAATAATACCATAACAGTTCCGAAAACTCTGTTCATATTCACATGAAAAATTTAAGAGACCAAAGAAATACAGTTCACCATAAGCACCCTTCACCTCCAAACTAAATGGGTTATGACTATACCTACATGTAGGATGGGAGTCTAATGCGCTGTATGGGGCATCTGATGAAACGTGCAGAAATTTTACAAGTTAATTAAGCGTCACATGCTTTCCCGTAATAAACATGCACTATAATTTTACTGCAAATGTTAAAATTAGAGATCATTGTCTAAAATATCACGTCACCAATTATGGTTATTAATGAACAAGGGGAAAATTAATCTATGCATATGCACTATAGGTTATAATATATTTTATGTCATTTGAATATGTTGTATATGTGAAGTATTTATTATTTTGTTAGTTTCTAACTCAAAATATAATAATCTGGATACAAAATATTTGTTTCTTAAAATGGTTTAATTTTTAACAAGAAACAAAATCCCTTGACCTCCACCAGAAATAAACTGCTTTTGTCAGTATTTGTCAGAAGACGATGGTCACGTGACAAATACGAAACTGGCTGGTACCGTCATGGCGACTCACCTGAGGATAGTCTTCTCGATAATCGAACATATTGGCGTGACTACTCGTGACGGTACTCTTTATAAATTTCTTAGGCCTGGCACCCGGGGATAAACGTCCCTCCTGAATATCTCTGGCCGAGAGCATGAGGTTCTGTAAAAATGTACCCTACATCTTCAAGAAATGGCTAAGGATTGACCTTACTTTGCTCATTTGGAGGAACATATGTATCTCAATTTTTAATTAATCTTTTATTTGAATTTTCTCTACTTAATTAGTTCAAGAGAAAATGTTAATTGATAAAAATTACGAATATTTTTCTATCTATATTAAATATTATAATTAAACATTAAAAACCATTATAATTTACAGCTTTCTAAAATTAAAAGGAACACATCGAAAAGATCAAGACTATTTGATAAAACAATGAGTGTTATGTTAAAGTTAATGATTATTATAGACTCTTTAATGCATATGTTTAATATGTGGTATGAAGAGTTACTAGTATATAGAAAATATCAAATGTGATCAAATTAATTAAAAAAAAGACTAGTACTTGTGGTTTTGGTATGGTGTAAGAAAGAATGAATTAAGATTTGTTGTTTGTATGTGCAGTTGTTCTATTAATAATGATGTACACGTTGGTCAGAAAAAAATATTTGTTTGGTTAATGTGAAGCACGTTCAAGCTGAATAACTTGCAAGCAAAAGATGGAAAATCAAAGGATTGGAAACAGTGAACTAGTCTATAATGTTGTGATAGACATAAACAGATGCTTATTTATAGGGAAAAAATTAATTTTATTGTCAGGAATGAAGCAAACGAGTCTAGGTAGGAAAAAACTACAAGTATATAAATAATAGATACTGTTACAGAAAGCTCAACATAAATACAGAGATAGCTATAAATAGAGAGGGGTTCTAGTACTCAGCTAACCTGTCGGGGAGATCTGCTCGATATATATTCATCATCATCTTTTGAAAAGAACTAGAAACAAACATTCAATATGCATAAGTCACAATTCATCCATTCTCTTGTCTATAAACGTTTCGTTTCAAGAATTTTAAAGTTCAATATTTTCAAAACCAAGTAAGCGTTTTAAAATAAGAAATCCCAAGTCTTATGAATAAAATTCTCTGTAGAAATAAGAAAATATCTACATGAATTGAGGTTCAAAAATATGTCAGTTTATTTAATTAATGGCTAGCTTCATGCATTGCACGTAACATATTGTTTAGTATTTGAAATGCGCACCTTTTCTGGTTCAACCTCTGACCAATCGTGCTTCCTGACATATTCTTCGGTGGCTTTCTGTTAAAATCACAGAAGTGCAACCATTTAAATACATTAACCCGTGTAAGCTCACAATTAAAAAAGGTATATATTGGGAAACATCTTGGTTTATCTATAATTGTATAAAAGTAAAAAATACACCGTATTCAAATTAATTTTCAAAGAAAAATCTGTTTAATTTTCCCATTATATACCGACACCAGCACAAACGTACATCTCAGTTTCTCTACTCATAATTTTAAGCAAACTGTCGAGTACTTTGTAAAAATAATTCTTGAAGATTTCATCACTACTATAGATAGCAACTTAAAAACTTTAAAAATAACCAACATTTCTCTCCATATTGAAAAAAAATCTCTATTAAATTATCTTTAAAATATAAAACACTGAATACAGAAAATCATGATGCATTGTTTTTTTTATTTGTTTCTGAAAGCAAAACATTAAAGCAATAGTCAAACAATTACACACAAAATACATTCAGACACAACAAGTGCAGAGTACAATTATACAAACAGATAATGTTTTATATTTGTTTTGCTGTAAGTGATTTGTATATTGTTTATGTAGAGTTCAAAGAAAGACAGAAAGAGAGAGAAAGTTCAAGACGAAGGCTCTGGCAAGGGCGTGGGCTTCAGTACAGTTCTTACATCTTTTGTGGGATGGTGGATGATCTCATCCAGATTCATCTTCCTCATGGTGTACCCCTTTGGTGCCCCACCTCCTGGTCTACCCCAGAGGCCATCCATGGTGTCGTAATGCTGAAAAAGGTTTTATTTATTAAATCACTTTTCATTCAGTTACATCAGAATACAGATATCATATGTTTGGATATTATATAAAAGTACTTTTTTCCTTTACAAACATTCATCATTGTCTTTTACTTATTAAATATGAATCAATTTTGATATCGTATGTTTTCATTTAAACAATTTACTATAATGTTATATAAATTTTTTTTCAACTACAAGTTAAATGTTTGAACTTTCTTTGGGCTTAAAACACCCGTAGCTTCTTACCCTTTGGCCTTCCTGGTAATCTTTCATCTTTCCAAGAGCATTCCTGCGGTATCTCTCCTCAGTCATATTATCCAAGAAGTTATGGTACTGCCTCTGTTCTGAGATATTTCTTGGCTGGCTTCCCATTTTCTGTTTCGATTGACAATATAAAAATTATTTTCTAAGAACAAACAGATATTAGTTTTTTTACAGTGAAACTTTCTAATTTTGATGTTGTATATTTTGAAACCTTTCTTTACACGCTGGGAATTCACGTTCCATATAGTAAATTCAATTGTTATAAATATTGTCTTACTTAGCTTATTTGTATTGAACCAGCAATTTATGACAAAATTGATTTCATCGTATATTCATTGCAGTTTTCTATCAAGTAATGATTAAGTTTTTACATTGTTACAAGTCATTGACTGTTGTTAAGAAAAGGACAAAAATGATCATTGTATCAAATTCACAATTTTTTTTATTCTTGTTATTGTTAAGATTAATGTTTTTATATTTCAAGTTTTGCATATTTCAAACATTTAACATAAAATCAGTATAATATTAATATTTTCCTCAAAGAAAAAGTATATACTTGGTAACACAGGTGAAGAAAATGACAAAAATGTGTTTCAGCAAAAAAGGAAGTAAGTGTTCTATAATCTAATTTCAAAAGTTTTTGCTAATTAAATAGCCCATATTAGTATGACTATTTATAGTAATTATTCAATGACTAGTAAAAACTGCCCAAAAGGGGTTGAAAGCAACATTTTAAAGCATAAGTGGACTCACATCTATTTTAAATTTCTTTGTAGTGAATGAAGAGAAAAGTGATTCTGGTAAGTCAGAGTTACACCAGTAGAGAAGAGAGACCAAAATACTAACTAAAAATTATACAAGCATTTTGGCATATATGAAGATTTCTGAATGGACAGAAGTGATGGAAAACGTCCTCACATGAGAAAGTGCAGATCAACAGATATGCCACAAGAGTGTGAAAGTTGTGAAAAAACGACGAATTAAAGCATTTACATAAGGATTAAATATTTTTTAAAAATGTTATATTCCCTTACTCTTAACATATTCCACAAATGGTAGTATTGTACCACCAAAGCAAACTATATAAAAGCTTTCTATTTTTTGAAAATCGAGTTCCTGCTATAGAATGTTGAATAAGTATATTTAGGGTTCCCAAAACTGTTAGTCATAAATTAAATTGCACTATATTATTTTGAGAAAGCTGTTTTAAAAAAAATCGCCTTGCCCAAACCCCCCTCCTTCATTTATTACAAACGTATATTAATACCCAGTCATAGAAAACTATAAGTTGTTTCAGAGACAGGAGTTTCTGCTACAGAGTGCAAGGTAAGTGTTACCTATAAGGAAAGCCACACTCTATAGTATACCTGTAGGGACACGTCAGAATTGCCCAGGTGATGATTTTGTAAGGCCCCCGTTATGGGGTCCCTTCTGGGTTTACCAGTTAACTTATCATCAATAATAACTGCCAATTCACCATGCTGTAATGAATATCATATTTTGCCGTTACTTTCGATTTTGTTTCGTAATTACCTGTAATGACACGTCAGAGTTACCAAGGTGATGGTTCTCCAACAATCCTGTAACCTTGTTACGTCTGGGTTTGCCTACAACTTTATCATCAATTAAAACAGCCAATTCTCCGATCTGTAAGACATGCATACATTGAAAAATTAATAGTTGTCATTTCTTGCTTTACCATTTCCTTGCTAATGAAAAGGAGTGCCCTTTTCTTCCTGCTGGATCTTTCTTGGTCTTCTAAGAAATTACATTGATTAATAATCGTGAAGCAGCACCACTTATGATACTAATACTATTTGTAATACAGTATTGCAAAGAGTCAACTAGGATATAAACTAAAGCATTTAAAAATTTAAAACATATGACACAATTAAGTTCATAGTAACAGTATCCTGATATAATACTCTAATATCTCTCATCTTTCTTGAATAGAAATTTTATTCTCCAACTAGACAAGAAACCTTTTGAATTATTTTGTAGTTTACATTAAGACCAGCCTTTAGCATAAAACCTTACCGGCTTCCTCTTTTCCTCCATTTCCATTTTCTTTTTGTATTGCTGGTTCTCCATTTGTTGGCCTGAAAATTGGAGAGAGAAAAATGATAATAAAATGGCTGAAAAAATACTTTTCTTAAGATGAAATCCTTCATGACAATCTTTCAGTATCATATTTTTTTGTAATATTTATATAACCAAATTTGGAAGTGTCTATAGCTTTAGCAGAATCATCGAAGATGCAAGTTGCAACACTGGACAGCACTCTTACACAGAAGGACTTCCAAAGTGGAACTAAATATTATATTTACGATAGGAAAATTTAAAAAAAAAAAAAAAAAAAAAAAAAAAAAACAGCAACAATGCAAAAAATCAGATACTATGAGTACTTGGATATAATTACTAAATGTAAATATATTTTCTTTACCTAATTCTGCATAGTAGATTTTGGCTTTGATTGCGTTCTGTCTTCTCTCGTAATCAGACAGCTAAAAATGAAACAAAAGCAATTATTTTTTGTATGTCCATAATTTTTTTTTTTCATCTCTCAAGAATTTTTTCAAGACATCATTCTCTGTAAATTCATAAAATATTCCATAAAAATTTTTCTAATATCAATAGATTGAATACATGCATTAAATACATAAATAATATAATTATTTAAATGCTATTTTTTTCCTTAAAATAAAAAAAATCCCTTGCTAATGCTACTAGTATTCAAAATTACATTATCCAACTACCCATGCAATATATATATGAACGATATTTTACATGCATGAGCATGCATGGAGATATACAGCAATGGTTTCTATACGGTTTGTAAATCGCCTAACAGTGTAATTAGCAACGCAGACCATGCAATAATGAAAAATATACATGTATACATCAAACAAGATACTGAACAACTTTCTAGCCGCTGCACCAATTAGTACAAAATAATTTTCGAAGGAATTTGCTGCATCTTCAGACTTTAGCCAAGTAAACGCGTGATACCTAAATTAAGCGTGTTGAAGTATTTTTTTTTTTTTTTGGTATAAAGTATCCTAATACTTAATATGAGCCAGGGCGAGGCAATGTTCACTGTAAGAAAATGTAGAAACTGCAGGATGTTACATTTTCTTAGATCGGAAGGTCAAATAAAAATAACACAGCACTCTTTGACAGGTACAGAAAGAAGCTACCAATTCTTGGTGGTCATCTGAGTATCTCAACAGTATTGACAGCTACTATTATGGCGAATACATTTTCAGTACATTATTTTGCTCATTTGCATTTTTGGTGAAGAACATATACACTCATGGCTATTTTAATTAAACGTACATTTCTACTAGTCTATGTATAATTTTCAACAGAGCTCTGTTCTTTAGATATTTATGAAATCACTCCACTTTCGGACCTAACAATCCGGATCCATAAATTATTTTAATACAGTTTAAAGAGGATAGGAAACATTACCAGAATATAGCTAAAAATAGCCTATACTATTTTTAAGGCTACATATCCTTCACCATTTTGAAGAATTTACTAATGACTACAATAATCTAAGTAGGATTGCTCTTTGACACTGTGGTATATAAAGAAATTTTTCGTGGATCAAACCCAGTTAATTTTTTATGCATATTATAGCAAGTACTATGATAATAATTATTCTATTTTTATTTAGGATCGAAATAAATTCATGATGCGGAAACAGATAGCAATAGGACACCTTAATTGACTCAGGTAGTAGTCTAAGAAACAGACAACAACAAAAACATCAACTGCACAAAACACAACTGAGAGGAAGTGAAAAGACTGGATCAGGAAATAGGTAACAAGATAATCGTGTGAACACGAGAAAGCAAAATAGGACACAACGTCATTGTCATTCATTCTCAAGAATTTTACAGAGTTCACAGTGCAAAGACGAAGTTCAAAGCATATACACATGATATGTTAAATAGAAAGTGAAATGATGTCGTTATTATTCTTTTAAACCTTGAAACATCATTAGTTTGTCAAGATGATAGCATATAATTAATATCAAAACAGCAATAGAAAACATTTCTGGCAGTTTTTAAAAAGTTTCAAGATATGGTGTCACTAATTGACGAAGACCTTAAGAATGACACCCTGGTGCACTGTATGTCCTGTAGTATACTTACGTTGTTATGCAGATAATGCCGCTGCAAAAAGCATGTGATTTAAGGTTGGCTTTAATCTTTTTTTCTTAAAACACATAACTTCATAGGTGCAAGCAATTTAGTAGAAGCAAAATAACACTTAAGTAACATTTTCCCCATCATTACAAACATATTTTGGTAAAACTACCAACCATTCCCTCAAATTCAATTTAAATATCCCATAAAACTTCCAATAAAAGTGTACCGTTTGAGAGTCAGTGAAAGTGCAAAAATAGAACAAAATTGTTTTGCTATACATACATCTGAGTGGCCGTGTAATACTGTGCTGATTTTCCCGCTGTAATCCTTAACTGGTGCCCCTCCCCCGGATCTTCCGAAAGGATGATAGATGGGATGCAGCTCCATGTTTGGCTTTTTGGGTTTTCCAATTCTGCCCAGATTGTCGTACTCTTCAAAAGGGTTGGTGGCGCTACGGTTTGTTTCGGGGGCTGTGAGTGGAGAAAGACTCGGGGTTACTTATAATCCCAAGAGAAAATAGAAAAAAGTATTTGCTCTCCGCCATTTTGAAACAATTTTTCGTAATTTTCATCATTCATATATTACATTTATCTTTTCCAAAACTGGTTTTATATATAGTAAATAATCAAAAATAAGAAATTTGCATTACAACAAGATTCAATAATTTTGTTGCAGATCAAAAATCTGGTTTTAAAAAGCAAGTAGGTAACACAGCATTAAAATTTGGTTAAGCCAAAATTGCATCATTCAAAGTTGTGTTATCAAAAAAAGCAATTTGACTCCGAAATTTATATGGTAAGCATACGATAAAGTAAAACATGCAAAGTTTAAAAAAACTAAAATATGTGACGAGGTATAGAAATAACAATAAAAGCATTATATTTAGATTAAAATTGTTGTGATTTTTAAAAATTATATATTTATCTGTGAATTGATAACAAGCTGTGTTCCAAATATAGCATTTTAATGCATCATAAATAAAAATCCAGTTTCGATATAAAGAAAAATAGAGAAATTGTGTAAAATCTTATGACCACTTTATCAAATCGCTATTTTTAAAATTTCTATTATATTTTTTTATTTACAAAATGTACTACAGAACGTCGCATGCATGCAATTTCATCGATATAAGATTGACATAAAAAACCTTGAACTTTTCATTTCGTTTCAAAAGGGTACAAATAGACTGTCAAGGTAAACAAATTTTATCAGGATTTTATTTCAAATATTTTGACATAACATCACATCAGATGAATCATATATAAAGATCTGGAATAGGTGTTCCGATATTTAACTTTCTTACCAAATTTTACAAAAATTAATTTATTGCCCTTAATTACAAATGTACATAGCTGTATTACATTGCCTTTTTAGGCTAATTTTATCAAAATTATGAATGTCAAACAAAACAAACACCACTTGTAAAAATTTTCTGATAAGTTAAACCTTGTATCATATATATTTCTTTTCATAACAACAATAAATTTTTCTTACTACAAGCAAACACAAAGATTATACACCTGATAGTTTTGCTTTATTTATTGATGCTTGAAATTTAAAAACAATATGTCATAATTCTTGAGCAACTTGTTTTAAACACTTTTGATTAATTTCGATTTTTTGACGTTGTCAAGTATTAAATGTTGTATTTTCATAAACATTTTCTCTATCATTTTAAAAACTGTACTTTATGTTTAAGAATAATTGGAATTTTGTGAGTTTAAAGGAATGGTTTTAATGTTGCCGTGAAGGTTATGTTAATAGCAAAACAATATTAACCTGTGCGGGGATTACCTCCTCTTTCATAAGAGTCGCTGTATCCATTCTAAAAAAATTTAACAAAAATTACACATAATTTCTAATGAATAATATGGAGTTTAAGAACTTATATGTTTATTTTTCTTTTATATCTTTTTTCTAATTATTTTATTAATTCCAAAAAAATGTATGATGAAGGAACAGAAAAGCAAACACTATCACCTCAAAATAAGCAAAAATTATAAAGTTCATCTCAAAACAGATCAAGAATAGAATTGGATATATTTTGAAGGAATAACTGAGTATAGGTAAATGTTTAAAAGAAGAGTACAGAGAAAGGCATCTTCTTAATTACATAGATTGTATTCAAGTCATGTAATTGTGTAATTAGAATTTTAAAAAATATATTTTGTTAAGATCTATATACTTTTTCCCAATCCAAACATAATACATGGTTAGATTTTAATTCAAGGATTATGAAATAAAAGAACACTTCTCAAAAGGTTATAATTTTGTTTTAATAATACAGAAATTTATTTTCAGTATACAAGAAATAAGTCTCAGTTCACACGCTACCTTTTTCCTCCTGAAGGATTTTCTGATGTTCATCAGATATCCATCAGAATTTCTAAGGGGGTTCCCAGTTCCTTTTCCCCAAGGATCAAATTCATCAAACTGTTAAATCAGAGAGGGTTAGGCAAGAAAAGACAGAAAAGAAAGAAAGTCAAAGAATTAAATAGAAAGAAGAAACTGAAGAAAGAATGGTAGAATTAAAAGAAAAAATCAGAAGAATGAAAGAAAGAGACTTTTCACCAATTATGAAGACGTATCCCACAGAAAGTAAGATATATATGTATACATGTATTATCTAATCTATCATTAATTACCTGTCTTCTCTCTTGGAAAGAATCTACAAACAGACAAACAGACCAGTTAGAAATTTTTAGTGATTATACAATGAAAAAATAAATTTAAACATTTTACTCAAGGAAAAATTGTATGAAATCTTTTTACATAATTTGAGACATGCAAAAAAAGATTTTATAATTATTCATCCTTCGTTACAATTTTATGTTTGTGTATAATATACCTCTAGCCTGAACATTCATAAGCTCAATTGTGTCCAGAGTATTGTAAATTTTCCTTTTTAATCGCAAGTGATTTCCTGCATTTTGGGAATGAAAAGAAGGAAGAGAGACAGTAGAATTAGCGCAAGAAAGTGAATTAAGAAGCAAGAAAAAAAGCTCAGCTGATGTTTGTTTAAAATGCTAGCAATGATCAGTTGGAATATTAAAGACGATTGATAAGTAGAGTAAGGTTACAGAAAAGTAAGATGATGGATTTTTGTTGTAATTGTAACATAAACAAGAAGGGGTATTGTAAGCATGTGCAGAATAGAAAAACAGAATAAAGTCTCTTAGGAAACTATAAGATTAAGCACAGAAAAGACAAAAGAAATAAAACCAACTGAAGAAGTAAAAAAAATACACAATAATATCCGAGTCTTCAAAATATGTAACCAGGTGGCATTACCCAAGTTTACTTTTAATCAAGAGAAAAATACATCAAGATGTATCAACATTTAAAAAGAAAAGGATAATGAAATTAAAACAGAGACAGAAGAGTGTACTTGCCAGATTTTGACAAATTAGGAGCACCACCTCCTGGTTTCCCGAATGGAAAAGTAGCACACTGAAAGAACATGTATACAGTGTACACAGAAAAATGGAAGAAAAAAGAAATAAATGTATCAGAGAAAGTCATGACATAAAAGATATGAGAAAGGAAAGACAATAAGAAAGAAAGGAATCTTCTTGAATGCAAATGTATGTCCACTAGACCTATCCACATACAAGAAATCAAAGCGTATGAAATAAAACAGTTGGCGTGTTCCGCTACAAGAAGCGTGCTGACTCTGAGAATACAAGCGGTAGAAATTAATTAATGAAAGAAAAGACAGGATGCTAAAATGGAATGAGAAAGAATGGAAATTAGTAAAGCCTGGAAGCTTATCAAACTGTGTGCAGCCATGCAGCATAATTTACCTGGTCTTCTCGGTGTGACAGCTGCAGCTTTTAACTGTAAAAATAAAAATCAAAGTACATGTATGTGTTTGAAAAATCATTCTGTCCGTCAAGCTATATAATCTGTAACACATAATTACTTTGATTCATTTATTAATATTTAAAACAAGCTTTCTGCTGTTTTTGTGTTTTTCTGTAGTTTTTTTTTTTCTTTTTTTTGTACTGTTGTACCAATTTTTCTTGGTCCTACTTTTTTCTATTTCAAAATGTTTTTATCAAAAAAGAAAACCATACTATATTCACGTCAATTTTTTTTTTTGAAAATAGTAACATATTAATGAGGCAAGTGTTTCTACCTTTTGTTATAGAAAAAATACAAATTATTTCATTCAAATACTAGTACATGTATATGATCTTTGCAACAATATCCACTGTGCAATTAGTAGGACTCAAGATTTAAAAAAAAACAAAAGCTAAAATTCTTTCATACTTAATTGTAAAATTTCTGGATGAAATTGGGCTGTACATCTATTTTAAATCCCCTTTCTTTGGCACCCATATTAACTACACAAGAGTCAAAAATACTGAAAATTCTGTACATTTTTTCACATCAGGCACATGGCTAAACCCCTCAAAGCAATTTCCAATTTATTTTCTCCTAAACAGAATAAGTTACGTCTTATTGACTTTTTCTCGTACTTTATCATCAAAGTAAAGAAGTAACTTTAAACAAAGAATTGCCCGGATTGAAAATAGTTGCCATAGTGATATACTCACGTGATCTAGTTCCTGTTTGAGATTATGTAATTTCTCCTCTTGGTTATGGAGCATCTCTTGCTTTTGTTGGATATCTGCAAAAAAGCGGGGTTTTTTTTAACAAATCAATATTTTACTATATTTACTTTTAGTTGTTCCTTTTTGCCGATTGCCTCTTGATTATTTCGTTTTCTAAACCTGACAGGCTTTTTTTTTAATTCTATGATATCCACTGAAAGCAATGTATTTTTTACTTTTTTTATGACCTTTTCTTGCTTTTGTTGTACATTACATACAGTGACCTATACCGGTAGGCATTGAAAATTTTTGTGATGTGATGAATTCATTTTGTGTATGTAATGTACTTTTTTTATATTCTAGAAGGGTTGATCCAAATGTAATGTCACAACTTCAATAAAAATCTTAATAAGTAGATGTTATCAACAGTATTTGACAAACTAGTGTCCCCTTTCCATTTTAATCTCTACCTTAAAATTTTATTGAATTACTCAGGACATAAAATACATTTCTAAAATATGAGGGAAAAAATAGGGTTAGGTTTTTTTTTACGATTGCCGCTCGGCAAGAATCTAACTGACGTTATTATGACGTTTTATTTCAGCATTCATTTTGAGTTTATCTGCACCTGCTTTGCATTGGCGTCGGAAGCAAATTGAAAGTGGGGGGGGGGGGGCTAAGTGTCTAAAAAAATTTATACATTCAAAAAAAAATCTGACAAGCAAAAAAAAAAAAAAAAAAAAAAAAAAAAAAAGGTAATTCCAATTCCCAAACACAAAAATCCTATTTCGTGGGGGGAGGGGGGGGGGGGTGTAGGGGTAGGGTAGGTTCGAACTTCAGTACCAAAATTTTTTTTCCAAACACCATTACTTTACCCCATTTTTACCCTTTTTTAACCTATACTGCGACGTGTCTGTGGAAAGTGGGGGGGCTAAACCTACGAAGCAATGTTCAATGTCTATACTAAGTATATATTTGGAAAAAAAGTGGGGGGGGGGGGGCTAAGCCCCCCAGCCCCCCCCCCTCCCCCCCGGTTCCGACGCCTATGCTTTGTTAAATACCCCCAGTAACCTTTTCTCCTATTTTGCTAACAATCTTCTTAAATGTTTTATGTTGTTTTAAGTTGTAGGATTAAACGTATTTGAACTGTTCCAAATGTAATTTTTTTTACGCTCTCCTTTTTTGCATAAATCTGGTGTATAATCAGATTTGAAATGAGTGTCGAAGAAAATAGCTACGTCGCTAGATTCTTGTCGTGCGGCGATAGATAAAACCAAAAGTTGTGTTTATTAGATATTTTATAAAGTATTGCATATATCTTCATGATTTTCTAAAGCAAAAGGCAAATAGCATGAGGTATAATGATGTAAATTGTTGATAAAAATTGACTATTATTAAATATTTTTATACAAGTTGTAACATTACTTCTGGATGAACCCACATAGGGAGTCTTTCATATGTTATTAAAACATAAACATTAAAAAAAAACTTTTTCAGTAAAAGTTATTAATTCTTAGATGTAGAAAAATGATTAAAAAAGCTCATTTCCGTGTTTTGGATCGTAAACTTGACTTCACAATGTTTCAGACTCTATGTGAGTATCAGCAGATCTTTTACATAGATTAAGTGGTTATTCAAAATGCATCATGCTTCATGCTTAAGCATGTGCGCAAAAATATTATATTATTGTACAATGCAACTGCATTTCATTTTTCTAAAACCTTATTGTTGTAATGAAATTCAAAATTATCTAGGTTGCAATTGAAAATGATCATTGATTAAAAAGCTTGCATGCAAAAATTCTTGTAAAAAAAAGAAGCTTTTTGTTGGTTTTTTGACGCTCATGCAGTGAACAATTGGCGAAAACGCTGTCAAACGACACAGAGAAAAAATTACTTAGATCCATAGCGTATTCCTGTTTCGCCTGCGGATCCTTTTCATATCGCAAGACATTTTCAACTTCCGGTCTGCTGCGATCCTGAAAGCGGAGTATTTTGGCAGAGTTCATATGAGTTTTCACGTGATTTCCGGAATCTGTTCTGAGAGGAGCACCTCCCCCAGGGGTTCCAAGACGATCAACTATAGATCCAGTAATCTGGGTAAGGTAGAGAGAAAGAAGAAAGATAGACAAGAGAAGGAAAGCGAAAGAAAGAAGCATGACAGAATGAGCAATTATTTTTCGTTTATCGCTGATGAAATTTTACTCAAAGACTATATATTTTGCGTTCGATAAGAAGTGATTTTCCCCATAATTTACAGCAAAATATTTTATCATATGATTGTCGTTATTATCAAGCTTACGCCTGTAGGGGGAGCTGGAGCCATCCCTCCTTGTTCGTTTTGACCGTTTCTCGGTGCGGCGGGGGGAGAATTATTCTTTGGAGACGTATTGGCCGCTGGATTTGAAACAAACTATGATTTTAACTTACACTTCATTTTATAATACGAAAGGCAGAAGATATAAGATTAATATTAACTTTCAGAGAAAGAATGGGGTCGCATAACAGTAGTAAAATTGCCCTTACCTGGGTCTCGTTTCATCTGTTCAAGCCTTGTGCGATCTCTTGGTCCTGATGGATCATAACCAGGTCTGTCCTGAAATTTATGAACCAATTCATGCAACACTGTGGGTTTGCCGGGATGAACTCGGAGATGCAATGGATTTTCGTCATAAGCGAATAGTTGCCAGTTTTCCATAAATTTGTTATGATTGTTGGCATCATCGCTCTGATCATCCTATTTAGAAGGAAGGAAGGAAGAGAGAAAAGGAGAAATAAGAGATACAGATTAAAGAAATGATAGAGAGAGCTGTAGTTAAATGAAATACTGAAAAAAAAGAAAAAAACAGGAAGTGAAAAAGAAAAAGAAAGATATCAATTTAATAAAGATAAAGAAGAATGAGATGAGTTAGATGAAGAATGTAGAAAGACTGTGTCAACAGACTGCTGAAAAGAAAGAACATACATAGTGCCAGATGGTCTCGTAAACAGACAGATATTAAGCTGAAAATCAGAGATAAAGGAGAAGAGAGAATAGAAGATAAAAGACGAGACAATCAGAGCGGAGTCGTTCTATTCGCTGATGATAACATGATCTTTGTCAATTAATGAATAAAACATTAAAAATCAATATAAGTGACTTTAATTTTTCATTTGAAACAACGATTCTTTATGCAGTTTTTTTTAAAGTTTTATCTTTTACATTTTTAAAAAAAAGATATGAGGATTACCAAATTATGATCAGTATTTAGTTGTAGAAAGTTACTACTGTGTAATTGAAATAAATGAAAATATCCAAGTGTGTGTTAGTAAAAGGTGGATTGTGTTAGTTTTCTTTTATAAAGGTTAAAAATAAACAAAATACACTACCATGGCGATTTCCATTTTTACTTTCAAATCTGAGTTATATATTAACGGTTATCTATCTCCTCTTTGTTTTTACTAACTGTTATTCACAAACAAAATCACAGCAAATGTATGTAATTCAAAAAAACACTTTGAAATTACTTGTACGTATGGTCTTATGTCAAGCATTTTTTCGTTTTCTGTGGGCTGCAAAACAACATGTAAACAAACTTTATTTTTTAGTAACTGTCCAATATAAGTACCCTTTAATCGTCTTACAATCCCAGCTATTTCACAATTGTATACCATGACACAGGTTAGTATAAAAGCACTATGTATAAGGCTTTATTCATTGCATAACTATTAATAGAACTTTCAAAAGGTCGTATAAATCTTTTTAAAATCCAGGAACTTTGACTTGTTATTCATGAAAGGTAGAAATATATAAATATCCGATTTTTTTTTTGTTTTGTTTTTGTTTGTTTGTTTGTTTGTTTTTTCCCCCAATATCTACATCTTTAAAAAAAAGATGCAAAAAATGTTTTCAGACTAAAAGGACAACTTTACTTGTTTGATTTCCTTTTACGATAAATAATCAAATTAAGGTTAAGGACAAAGTCTCTACGTAAGATGAATGAACAGAAAAAATTTATAATGGACCCCAAACTGAACGACAATAAAAGATCCGGACTTTACTTCACCTCGTCCCCGACAGAGAATTAGATGATTACAGCTTATGAATTCCAATGCAACCTGTACAATAGATACTGATTATCGTAAAATCTGATTGAGGAACTGACAAATTTAATCAATTTATATGATTGGCAGAATTCAGACACGGTTAAAGCAGGATTGAAACACTGCGTTGATATTTAAATGTATCTATGGTACGGGTCTTAGAATTGCATGAAAATAACTACTTTTTATGACTAAAAGCATGCTGTTAGTCGGCAGAGAAATTTTCCTGTCACCGAGTTTAGAATTTCGTTTTGTACAATGATACCTGGGCTATTTCTTTCCTAAAATCAATCCTTTCTAAATCTGGGTAGGCAGGCTCCTGTTTAGAGAACAAAACATGTGATGCCAAAGAGATTCCGATCTTGGAAACCAAAATTTAAGAGAACTATTTTCTTTGAAAGATCCCTCTTATACTCACTTTATTTAAAGTACGTAAAATAAAATACATGTACTATCAATTTCAGTTCAGTGTGAAGTTTAGCATTTTTGTTTTAATTTTTGAAAAAAACATTGACACAGAAATAGTCTGCTGTACGAGCTTACGTGTACTATTTAGCTTGAGCGCAGCTGTCAAACTAGATCGTGACGTAACGTAAAACTTCACACTTAACTGCAATCTATAGTAAACCTTTCAACGTGTTTTGTTGTAATTTTTTTAAAAAGTACCATTATTTCTACTCGTATGTGTATCCCAAGTTAGGAATCGATGGTAATTAATAAACCCCCCTCCCCTTTTTTGTGTCCCATGTTCATTGAATAGTGTGATGTACCACATATATGCTTACCCATTTATCTTTATATACATGTTTCTCTGGAGGTTCTAGTTGGTGTTCGGTAAATTTCTGCTTTCTGGCATCGGCCTGTAATTGTGTGTACAGATTGAATGGACATGCAAAGAAAATGCTCAGCATAATCTTGCATGGATATTTATGATTACTATTGCATTTATATGTAACAATAAAGGATTTGGGGATATTTGGATGGATGGAATCGGGTCAAATCAGTCGGGACAATGTGTTAATAAGGCGTGCAGATTATAATTCGTGATTAAAGACAAGCTTGCTTTGGTGTGTAATTTAACTATGAAAAAACTTGAACTATAAAAAGACTATCCAATCACTTTAATTTCTTAATATATTTGAATGAAATAAATGTTTAAAATTTTCAAAAATAAAATAACATTTTCTACGACATATGATACTTTTACACAAGCTATTCTAGACCTACACGTCACATCCGGTGGACTTACCATCGGAGCTCCTCCCCCTGGTCTCCCCCAAGGATTGTAATTTTTTAACATTTCCATATCCTAAAATTTATTATCGAGAGCACGTTAGGATGCACAAGCATTAATTAGGTCAAATTACAGCAATTGTTCTAATGTAGATTAAAATAGCGCTTCTCATGCAAATCCATAATTGACAAGGTTTCTTGTTGGTATGTTGTTTAAGCCATGCTTTTCTTGAAAGCTTAAGTTAATAGGACCGTGTGTGTTTTCTTTATGTTAAACTACTAGTACTATTTCATTAACCGCCTTAGAATAGTTCTATGTATTAAAATAGCACCAAGGCCGAATGATAATAAAATTCATGCAACACTGATGAAAACCCTGACCACATACATTTGTATTTTAATAACTAGAGAAACAATCAGAAAAAAAGACAACTTCCGTGTAAAATAATTCACTATTTAAAGTCACAACAAGGTAAATATCTAGATAAAAGAAAAAAGGTTATGTAAGTGGAGTCAGAAAAAAATCTTCCTTTGGTAATGCAATGCATATGTCAACTTAAAAACGACACATATTTTCATTTTACTAATTTAAGTCAAAAGTAATTGTGTCCACAATTTTTGATGTATTTATAAATAACACTAAGAAGAACAATATTATTGACAGTACACTAAAACACATTTCATATATACTCACAAAAATAGATAATCAAGTTTCACAAGATAAACTGTTCCACAGTATTTATAAAAATAAACTATAGTTAACGATTCATCAAGTATAGTTTTCTTCTGTAAAACTATATTTAACGGTTGTTTACTATAGTTTACGAATGGTAATGTATGTTTTTCGGTCTGTAATAAAGCGTTAACAATAGATTTTGTTAAAAAACATAGATTCACAAACTATAGTTTACAATCGTAAATATAGTTAAGAGTTGTTAATCATAGTTTCACAAATTGTGAAACTATATTTATAGATCGTTAACTATAGTTAACGGTTTGTAAACTATGTTTACAAATCGTGAAACTGTATTTATCAGATAATCTATGTTTTGCAATCGCAAATGATTGTTTTCGGTGTTAAGTATAGTTTACGGTTGTGAAACATAGATTATCGCGTTAACTATGGTTTACAGATGTGAAATATGGATTAACATTGTTAACTATAGTTTACGGTTTGTAAACTATAGTTTACAACCGATAAACCTAGTTTATCGATTGTGAAACTATGATTATCTCATTTTTGTGAATTTGGCGTGCCATAAGAAAGAGTAGAGACATTCACAAACAGCAGTATATACTAGTAGAGCTGTACATATATATAGAGACAGATTTAGAATATGAATAACCTGTCGTTTTTGCTCCTGGATTTCGTCGTATTGCTAAAAACATCAACAAAAAATCCTTTACATCAGTTGCCATCGACATGTTTACAGATGCCATCCTATTTACAAAGCAGTATGCAATATGTTCTGCTTCAATAACCCTATCGCTGACAGTTCAAAATTCTACTCACCCTTTTCCTTTCATCTTCTCTATCTCTCAATCTAATCTGTTCCTGATATTTGATTCTCTGCCGATCTTGCTCAGTATCCATCATTTCTCTTCGTAATCTATCCCGTTCGATCTCGCTATGGAAAGAGAATGTACTATGACGTCACAATCACAAATCTACATTACGCATACTCCATTGTGACGTCACAATGGCTCTTTCTTACAGATAAGTTACAACGTCAAAATAAAAGCATAATTTATTCTTTACATGCATTTAATGCACACCACCTTTTTAATGAAGCACATTATATGTGTTTCTATTATCGGATTTTCAAAGTGAGGATTGGGAAATGTTATAAAAAAAAGAAGTGGAAAGATCGATTTTCTGAAACTTACTCTCTGTTGTCAAATCCTAATCCTCTCATTGGACCGGGTCGCACCTGTTGTGATTCCTCAATTCGTGGGTCACCTGACCCGTACTGGAGACTTCTATGACCCTCGTCTAACTTTGGCCTGGCTATAAAAGTAAAGAAACGGTTCTGTTTTATATCATTGCTGAGGAAAACCTTGCGAGAAATTGCAGTCAATTTTCTCAATTACAAGAAAGAGGATAACTTTTAGCAATTTCTTTTTTGCCTGAGACACAGATGAAAAATATTAATATGCATTTGTGAAATTAAATCGTGTATTTTAGCTTATAAAATTGTGTCATCACACTTGAATGAGTTCTTCAGAAACGTATTGAAAAGTGCCGTTTATCAATGTGTGTTAACGTATTTTAAACAACAAATGGAACATGGGATTTTCTGCAATTAATCAATTTCTTGCAAGCTTCAAAATAGAAGTTATGGGTATCAGCAAATGAAGCTACATATGCAAAAAAGTGAAAATAAGGAAATTCAAGGAATTTTTGTACACTCAATCGCTTTATCAAAAAGGACAATATTTATTACATGTAAGAGTGGTTTTGTGTACATATTGCCGCTTTTTCCCAACAAAATTAAAAAAAAATATTTTACTAGTAATAATATGAATTTAAAAAAAAAACCCAAAAACATACGATATAGAACTGGTATATTTTGTTATAAATCTATAAATAAAGAGAAAATAAATTAATCATGCAATACAGTCTAAATATAGTTTGGAGTCAAAACTAGGTGGTATGTGACTATATCAAAGAGCAAATCAAGGCAACAAAGTTAATCAAATTCGGGAAGTTCCATATTATGCAGACTAGCACACAAGGTCTAAGAAGCTAGCTTCTATTACCATCACCCGGGTGGTAGGTAACGATTTCAGACGCTTGAGGTTTTGGAGCAACCGGCTCTGTCTTTCTTGCTGAAAGAGTAATCGTGTTTTCACTTGAATTTTCCTTAGATTCACAACAAGTCAATTTATAACACTCTCAAACACTGCTAGAGGTCGAGGAGTGACTCCTCATATTAAAAAACGCTGAAAATAGTAGTCAAGTACGAAAGGTGAGAATGTTTTTTCATGCAATTGTGGGTAACTAGGTATATTAAAGATGGCATTCACTTGATAAGTGTGTAAAAATTGATTCTTCTCTTTAATCTATTTGGAACAAAGACCTATAAAGAAGCCACTTGTGTAAATCTGTTTTACATGTTCGAGTGTCCCCCTTCAAAGCCAGGAATTGAATTAATGATTAAACGTTCTTCAAATGGAATAAAAACTTACTTCCATGCACTGGAATGTGAGTGCATGATATTCAAGTGTTTTTTGTGTCTAAGATAAAAGGGAATAGCAAAGAGAGAGAAGAATCATAAAAGGGTTTACGGAAGTTATAAAGCGAAATGTTCACGTGACTATGGTAATGATGCTATACCATTTTCCATTTGAGAATTTGCCCTAGGAGGCGGGGATGCACGTGGTCTTGCCGAGGGTCGATCGGTTTTGGCTCGTGTTAAGCCCGGTTCTGTTAAAGCCATATTGGAATTTTGAAATCAAGTTTGAATACAAATTTGATTAACTTAACAAATCACTTCATATAAATTTTATAATCTAGTTTGATGTTTCAGTTATGTAAATTTCTATAGGTATATATTCATGTAATGTTACAGTTTGTCAAATCTTTTCATGTATAAATATCGTATCGATTGACTACTAGAATGGCTACATACATATAAAGGTTTAGGTAAAGAATTAAAATTGCAAAATATGTTACATCCTATCTATGGTCTAAAAATCTTTTTAACTAAGCAACATAATATTATTTCAGGGAAAGCATAAAAACATTACTTGCAACACAATGCTAAACATGTTAATATTCAATCTATTCTATACCTACATATAATTAGAATGGTTATGATACATTCTCAGTTTATTTACTCACCGTAGTAATCTACATTATAGCACAAATCAATTCCAAATATCATTAACCAATTCAAACATTGAAACATACAGTGTATCAATAAATATAAGAACCATAATGCACTGAGCCTCATTTTATTTAACTTCTTGCTATTGTATGTCAGGGTGCACATGTGTATGAAAATTACCTGAATCAAAATGTTGTGATTTTCCAAAATATCTATTCACATCAGATCCATTCATAGCAGCCGAATTCCTCTTATATTGTGGATTGTGGGGGTTGAAAAAACTCTCGGATGGATAACCTTTGAACCGGAAGTCCTGATACAAGGGATTATCTTCCGAGGTATTATTGGTGGTTTTCAAATCACGTGGTCTCGCTGGAAAGAAAAGTTGCAAAGAAGCAATGAAACAGATGAAGAAATGCAAATTAAAACATTTAGATTAAACAGTGTGTTCGAAATTCGACAATTAATTGTGATTGGTAAAAATTCTCAAAACCAGACAGATTTAATTTGGATTATTTTATGAATAAGTAAATAGCTGTTGCATGATACCTACAGCCATTTATTGCAAGCAATCAAGTCTTTATTTCAACAATGAAATAAAAAGTTTTTAGCAGATAAGAAAGTGAGGCCTTCTCATTCATCATTCATTTAGAGAGATTTTTATACATTTTGAAACTATATTGTACAGTAACAATATCATGTTAAAGTAATTAAGTATATGAAAATCAACACCCATCCTTTTCTAAGGAATTTGAAACTTCATCTACAGTGTATATAGGTTAGAAAATCTTGGATAGTCATTATGTCGACAAGGTATTAAAGGCATTTTAACAACTGATATGGAACTCTACATGTACTGTAATGATAACAAGGCTGAGTGCCTAATACTTAATATTTGAACAAGATAACCAGCAAAAAAGCATAAACGTCGACCCTTTTCAGAACAGCAGAGTCGCTAACTGTCAAGACAACTCTTGTAAAAATCTAGGGCATTCAGTTTTACCCCTGAATGTGAAGGATGCCCAATACTGTAGAACTCACTTATAAGGAACTCAGATATAATGAAATCTCTATTGTAAGGATCATAAAGCTTCAAAATTACTTCCAGAAAATCATTATTTACCGTTACATGTACATACCGGGGTATCATTGTATATCTTTGAATCTATGCATTACAAGCTTCTTCATTGTATTCACAATGTTGTACAATTAGATAATGGTCAGGAAAAAAACAAAAGATTTCAAAGTTACATCATCTAAATATATGTAAGCTGCAAAGAGAATCATTGGAGACTATATCGTACTACAATATTAACATGCAAGAAGGTTACAAATAACATAATCAATCATGAACAATTATTCCAAATTCCCCATTCAGAAACCTAGTTAATTATGCTGTTGAAGCATTATGTGTGCGTTGTTGATCTCCAATGATAAGATACAGATGGATTTTAAAAAGACATTGACACCAATTCAAATTGTTGTCAATGAAGACGCGACCAGAAATCCGCGACAGAGTTTATCTTGAAATAACTTTGTAGATAATGTCTGGAAATGGGAATGCATGTACTAAGTCTGCACACCCGTTTATAATATACTAGTAATTTAGTTTCCTTACACGCGGTGGGGTGTTATAACGATCTATTAAGCTTTTACTGACTAGGTTTTTTTTATTCACAGTTGTTAGTTCTCCGGAAAATCAGTGAATAGGCCCATTTGATTATGCGTAATAATTGTTCTCTTATTTTGTTGACTTGTTGGTTGTTTGTTACAAGAGTCATTCTCTAAAATAACAAACAGACAAATAAACAAGAAAAAGGATGGGAAAATCTGTCTGTGCAAAGAGTTATACGCCCTCTGCATCAACAGATTTTAAAAGTTTATTGAACTGCATTGAATTTAACACAAACATATACACCTGGGTGTAGGTTCATTTATTATTCTTATTACGTAAAATTTTTTTTAAATCCTTTTAAGCATTTGTTTCTCAACAGCAAATATAGTGAGAAGGTCCTGTGCTTTGACTCAAAATTAAGATATAAAACATTTCAAGCCTCTTACAACAGCGATCTTGATACAAGTGTTACAATCTTATCAAAGGTGTCAATGTTTGATCTAGAATCGATTTGCAGCTCGATTGAAGTACTCGGTAAGATTTTTTCTCTCTCGTAAACGTACAGTGGCCTAGTGGGAACCTATAACAAAGCAAAGTGACCTTGATATTTCAATGTGCTCCCCCACAAGGATTTTAATAAAAAAAATCATATAGCTAAATAATTTAATTGGATGGTCAAAACCCATTATCACCGGGCAATCTAAGTTTAAGATAAATATGCGGACAGTTATCGGGCAGTTCTCGTCTAGACGTGAGATTCGCCTTTGCTTGATACGAAAAGAGTTACCGGGGGTAAACAGATATCTAGGCCGAGGGACATTCAAATTAAATATTAAAATGAAATTCTGTAACCGAATCTACAAGCAAACACAGAGAATAAATTGGATCAAAATTGAAACAAAATGGTTTAATTTATTTGGAATTTAAATATAGGTCGTCTTCAAACGAAAGAGTTCCAAAGTTTGCTATGGTAACCTCACGGAGTGTTATGTTAGAATACTACGTGCTGCTAATTTACTACTTTAAAAATCAAAACTATATAAAGTAACATTTGAATTTGAAAATATTGAAGTTTTATAGTATGCTTTCATGCAAATTAAATGAATTTACACCTATACCGAAAACATCTCTTTTCTATACATGTTACCATGCAACCAAACACCCTCTTATGAATTTTTCATGATATGCAACAAGTATGACAGATATAAAATCAATCTTGAGAGCTGCGAAATAAGCTAAAACTAAACAAAACCTCCGACTACAGTGCACAAAAAACTCAAAGTAGAATGCAGTGGCGACCATATTACCCAGAATCCCATCCATGTGGTGGCGTTCAAGCCGCCGCAGCTCCACCAAGCGGTGAACTAGTGAATCTTCACGCACCTGTGGCGTTCAAATTGTGAAAATGTGCAAAACAATAAAAACATCACACATAGAAAAAAAACCTAAGCTCAGTGGGTCTGGTCCATTTTTTTTTCTTATGGGACCATTAAATAGTCACGGGAAGTGTTAATTGAATAATCTCAGACTAAGATATTTCTACTGTTTATGGCCACTTTTCAACAATACATTTGATCAAGAATCCATTTATTGCTGTGCAAAATTTAGAGCCAAATAGAATTACTGGTGAATATGAAAAGATTTTTTCATCCCAATGAACTGGAAAGGCAAACAAATTCTTTATTCATAACATCATATTGGAGATCAATTCAGTTGATATAATAGAAATAGGTCATCATATACGTGTACTTTAAATATTTCATTCTGTATTTAAGTTTTTAAATAAATTAATTTTGTGTCAAAGTGTTGTAAAAGTTATTGTCAAAGTTAATTGCAACTGAATTTTATACTTTTGTGAAGACAGACGCAAAAGCAATTGATAAAGAGAAAAGATTTTTACCGTACTATTGACCTAGTTAGTTTGGTATCCATGCTCTTTTCATCATTTTTCGAATCCCAATAAAATATACCCCAGTATAATTAAATAAAGAAATTCCTGTGTGGAATTATTGATAATAATCGATATATATTTCATTTTGTCAGATATCTAATGAAAACTTGCGACCATACAAAAAAATCTATACCCACCAGTTTGATTGTATTATCTAAATCCAACGCTTCGATAAAACATGTGTACACTGAACTACAAAATCCTCGATCAGAGAACCACTAAAAGTGCACACATGGAAAAATCAATCCCTACCACAAAAGTGGTACTTCATAAATATAAGTCGTTAGTAATATAGTGAACTTCCTTAGTACTTATTCTGTATAGTTACCTCAATTGTTTACACTCCAGGGGTGTAAAACTTTTGTATACAACGATTACCTGCATAGTCGAGGGGCATGTTTGCACCTGTCTGAAATCTACACTTTAAATATCATGTGTTAACTCTCCATAACATTATCAATACCTCTTAATTAGTCATTTAATATGTCATCAGCACAAACACTGAAAAACAAAATACTTGTATTATTTATTAATTAGTGGTCGGGGTCGTGACTTTATTGGGTAATTGAGTGTTTTAGAAATGAGGCCTGAAAAATTCAGGTACCTGGATACAATATTGATTTTTAAAGTCTCGCACCCTTGTTGATGATACAATCATAGCTTTGGGGCATTTAGGAAATATTCAATCTTAGAACCTGTCATTATAACTTATTTTTTAAATCAAATCTGAATAAAATGAGAAGTGAAAATAAACATGCAGCTAGTATCTGTCAAGTATTTCATTTACAAATATTTGAACTTGTATTATTGTCTATTGAATAAGCATCGGTATTTTTGTTTATTGACCTATAATAAGCTTCATTCCTTTCATTTACGAAAAAATAAATAAAAGAGTCATAGTGTAATGCTAATATTAATCAAGAGGCAATTAAACATGTTAAAGTTAAATCGCGGTTTGGAAAATATTAGAGGAAAGTAATATTTGGTAACTTAAGTCCATTGTTTAAGGGTGGATAATCTAATGTCTGGCAATTTGACATGAATGAGAAACCCTGTCAATAGTTTAGGATTATGTAATCAGTATACCCGTTAATCCTTCGGGTATATTGACAACACGTGTCGAAAAGGGGAGAACTCTCAATAATCTCCAAATGCTACCTAGCTACTATAAGAAAATCGAATATTTATAAAATTCATTCACTGATTCATTTTGTTTGATTGATTGTGTAAAACAGAGAGAGAGAGAGAGAGAGAGAATTATAGTTAATCACATTTTATGCAAGGAATTTTTTATTTCATGGGTTGAATCCTATGTAATACATGTACATACGCTTTGCTAAAAATATTCCAGGTTATCACTCAATACTCAAGTCAAACACATACACTTATCATCTTGCTTTTGCCGTCACCTTTGATATCAAATTTAAAAAAATTAAGAAGTCAGGATTTTTTATTAAACACAACGAAGAATGTCAGAAAAAAGGGGCAAAATTTTTTTTTTTAAAAAATTTTGGGT